CTGCTCTTCTCTAGGCTGAACAACCCCAACTCTCTCAACCTTTCTTCACAGGAGAGGTGTTCCATCCCTCCAATCATTTTCGTGGCCCTCTTCTGGACCGGCTACAACAGGTCCGTGTCTTTCTTATGCTGAGGGCTCCAGAGCATCATCTGGTGTGGAATATCCCTTTGGTCAGTTTGGGTCAGCTGGCCTGGCTGTGTCCCCTCCCAAGATCTTGACCACCCCGAGCCTACTGGTGAGGGGGGAATGTTGAAAAGACAGCCTTGATGCTGTGCGAGAACTGCTCAGCAGTAGCCAAAACACCGGTGTGTTATGAACACTTTTCTAGTTACTAATACAAAGCACAGCACTATGAGGGCTGCTATGGGGAAAATTAATGCCATCTCAGCCAGACCCAATACAAGCCAATATTCTAGTGATACTCTAGGTCATCTATCTAGCCCATTACACAGGATAAATTTAATCAAATAAGATAAATTGAATCATTCAATTGAATAAAGGATGAATTCTTTTTATAAAGGCACTCTGACTTTGTGGAAGGCAAAAGGAACTGAAAGTTGCCTTATAGGGTCTCTGTCTTCAGTCTTCCCTTTGAGAACTGCTGCTGAATTGGCAATTCTGGATCAAATAAAACAAACAAACATTTATAAACAAATAAGCTTTTTTCTCTCCTCCTCCAGACTTGAATCATTTTGTTGGTTTCACTGATCCACACATTTAATCACAGTCTGAAGATGGTATGTGGCCTACCTGTTGGATTGTGCAATGTATGCAAATTGTCACATGTATCAAAATTTTTAAAAAAATTATGTTAATATGAAAATGAAGCAGCTTAAGATTTTTATAGTGTTCAGCATATGACCTCAGTATTGCATGAACCTATATATTTTCATAGTTTTTATATAGGATCTCTACTAATAATTCAGGATCCGTATTATTAATTTAGTCATTGATAATGCAACACCTGATGCATGTTCTTAACTTCACTTATTTCAAAAGGACTGCTCACATGTGGAAAGCCAGGCATGTGCAGGACAATTTGCAGCCTTGGGTAATATAACTGCAATGTGGTTACAGTCATTGCTCAGAGGGGGAATGTGACTCTGACAGATGATATATGTGGTTGAGTTTTGGGGTGAGGTTGTAGGGATATGTGGTTGCCCTTGCCAGGGGATGGGATGAATTGCCAGCTGGAGATACCTACCTCTCTCCATGAGCTGCAGCAAGAGCCCAGCTGACTCACTTACTCTTGACTCCAACATTTTGGGCAGCCAAGGGATGGATGTGATGACTCCCACCCTTACATAGTCAATAAGCGTGCCAGGTGTTTCTGGCGATCCATGAAGGAGGTTTAGTACCCGCTATGTTTAGGTAACTGCCACGCAGAACGGAATGCCCCTGTACTTCCAGGGGATGGCTGGGGCCACCTTCAGAGGGTATCTACTGCTAGTTCCCACTGGGCAGTGAGGGTCAGTCAGCCTTCCCCTTCCTCCCGCTTCCCCTTTCCAGCCTCTGTGTGTCGGAGATTTTATGCTTGGTGTTATATTCCACCACAAACCTAGTCGGTGTTTGTTCTGCTAAGCCTGTGCTTTGGTGCCTTGAACTCCCACTC